TTCAAAACAAAACTATTTGTAATAAAACACATACAAATTCACACATACACATACATGTACACACATAAGTAAGAAAGCTCATATTCGTATATACATACATACATATGTAAGTAGTTCGAACTATAAAAAATTAAGTGGCAACAATTGTAGATACAAACCCATACATATACACACATATCTACATACATAAATGTAAAAGCGTACTACTATAACAGTACAACGACCGCAATGCCAATGCTGTTTTATTCCAGCTCCACTAGTAACGAGATCTTTCGAATAGCTATAAACGCACATACTCGTACATACAAAAAAAAATGTAAGTATTTTGTAGCTTGAGTCAAGACGAAAAACGAGTGTGGGCAGTGGTAAACAGCAGATGCGCCATCAACCAACAAGCGAATAATAATAGGAAATACCGAAAAAATACAAAGAAATATGTATATATATATATATATATACTTACATACATATATATATGTATCTACGAACAAGAGCATTGTCTTTACAAAGACCTAGATAACGGCAAACTTCCAAAACAAAAATTTAAAAAAAATAAAAATAAAGAAATAAAGATGAAATAGCTGACTGTTGAAATTTTCTACAATTTCGATATGGCTACATAGCTACACGTTTACATGTACACAAAAAGTACATAATATACATACATACATTTTTGTACATACCTATACTACATTCTACATTTTCTTTGTTATGCACCTTTTTTGTTTTGGGTCTTGGGAAAATAATTTTATTTGGGCAAAGTGTCCAAAAGACAAATGCTTGATGGATATAAATATATGTGTATGTACATATATATAATGGGACATACATACATATAGATACAAATAAGCACGAGTATTTAGCTAAATATACATACATGTAGCTACCCAGAAAGGCAATGAATTTGTTGGTATTGCGAAAAAAAGAAAATAAAAAAATAAAAGATGAGAAACTGACAGCTCAGCCTCACAAAAGATGCCACAGCAAAGAGTGGAGGGTGAGGAGTTGTTGTCGAGAGAAAAAAAAAACGAATTCCAAAATTATACAAAATGCATGAATGATCTTTTCGTACATCACTGCTGCTGCTGCTGCACAGATATATTTCTTTATACACATACATACATACACATTTGTAAAGGTATGCATGTACTCGCTCTACGCTGTTGAACGAAAATCTATGAATAACAAAATGCACCAAAAATAAATATATTTGGTTATCCAAAAAAAGAATGCAACTTACATACATACAACCATACAAACGAGTATATCTATCTTAAAGATTCGTGCCCGAATAGGCTTAGAGACGCTGCTTGCTTGCATCTAAACATATGCACATACATACATATATGTATGTATACATAAACATGCCTCTCTGTGCAAGCCCACATGCCAGCAGTGAGTGAACTCTTCCTCCAGCAAGGGAGCTGATGCAAAGTCGATAGTAACGAACGGTCTGTTGGGCGGCTATCGCGAACGGCGAGTGTTTGGCTAGAAGTAGTAGCTATCATACATATGTATATACATACATACATACATACAGATATTTACCTACAACTTGATCGACATGAGAGTTTAACAGTGATGCCTAAACATGGTATAAGCATATACAAGTATACACACTTAGCTACATACATATATACATACATATGCATATAGAAGTGAATGATCTGCCATTCGCTCATTTCGTTTGCACGTTTCAGCTGCCACCACCACCATCATATCAATACGAATGCAGTGTATGAGAAAAATATCCAAGGAAATTCAATGAAGGAAGAGGAAAAATTGAAAAGAAAAGAAATAAAGACGAAAGAAAGCAAGAAAGTGCCATAGCCAAATGAATTCAGGCACCAAGTAGCTGTGTTACAATAGAAAATTTTAATGCATACAACAACAACAAGAGCATCAAAAACATAGCAATGAAGTAAAATAAAAACAAAAATAAGTATTACAAATGCGCTTGCGACTCGAGTCTTTAGAGTTTGAGTGTAGTTAAGGGCAAGAAGGATAGTGGAAAATTTTCTGTAACATTTTGTTTTTGGTGTTTTTTTTTTTGAATTGAAAGAATGGCGAAAACTCTTTTGATGCAGTTTAAATGCAAAACTGTAAATATATATACAAACACATATACATGCATGTGTATGTGTTCGTAAGTTTAAGCCAGAAATGGTGAAGAGATCCAGAACATTAACTTTGAACGTGAAAACAATTTTTAAGTTAAATTTTTTTATATATACAATTTTTTTTATATTTTTTGTTTTTATTATGAAATTAATATAATTAATTTAATATTTTGCCTTATATATTTTTTAAACTAAATTTTTTTTTAAATTTTTCCTTTTTAATTTTCGAATTAAGAATTTCTTAAACCATTTTGGTATAAAAAATTGGTTTGACGCTTTGGAAGAAATATTTTTGGGCATTTTTAAATATTTTTTTTCATCAACATAAAACATACAGCATTTATTTGTACATACGTGTATGTATGTATTTGTACATGAAAAATAGTTTAAGTTACAAATACCAGGTAGATGTATTTACATATATATCGTATTTTTTACCAATAATATTAAAAATAATTTTTTTAAATTAATTTTTTTTTAATTATTAAATATTTGACATACATAAATACATATGCATATATTTAAAATAGTAATTTAAATTTTTTTTATATATATTCTTGTAATATATAAAGTTTATTAAAACAAGTAGAATATGTAAAATCGAACTAAGGCATTATCCTTTTTATACTAACGGGTCTACCTAGCCCTAAATGTGTCAATGGCCTTCGGTTACGCCAACAACAACACATACCTACTTACACTGCAACCATTTGTTTTACAATTTAACGAAATTCTATTACCTGACATTTTTGCCATCAACAACAACAATAATAACAACCAAAATGTCCTACTGTCATATAGAAATTCGCAGCAACAGCTAAGCCTAAAATACGTTCTTTCAAGAAAATCTATAGCAATGAATGGAAATCAACGCTGGTTCAGGTAGAAAAGTATGTGTGTACCCGTGTGGTGTGGTATATGCCTGCAATAACAAAATACCAGGATTTACTGAGTAACAGGTAATCTATTTTGATAGATTTTGAAGAGTTCGAGCCATTTTATCTAAAACACATACATACGTATATATATATATATATATATACCTAGGAGGTTGGCAACAAAATATTTTTTAAAATAAATTAAAATTTTCAATTCTTTCTAGTTTTTTTTTTTAATATTTTTACCTGTTATGTACATATACCCTTCTTCATGGGAATTTAAAAATTTCATTTTATGTACATATCTAATTTTTCTGTTTTACAATATTCACTTACGCTTAACTGTAAACAATTTTATAGATATGTGTGCACGTAGATATGTATATATATATATATACGTTGTATATCTCTACATTATAAAGGTAAATTTTGACCTAAAAACTTATCACAGCGCAATGTTTTGCACACACACTCCCACCTACACATACACACACACCGCATGAGAGCAGCGAAAAATAAACTGTAACAACAACAGCAATGCGAAATTTCAATAGATAAGCATGGTTGGCAGGTTAATTTTTTCCAACAAAATTTTTTCAACGAATTTTCCTGTTTTTTTTTTTTTTATCAATTCTAATGAAATACGCAATAGCGACAACAAAATAACAACAAGTAAAATGGTATACATACATATTTATATATGGAACAACATATCATGTTGGATAATAATAGCAAAATTAGATAGGTACTTTTAACTGTAAAAATATACATACAGACATAAATATATTTACATGTTATATGAATCTGCGCGCAAAATAGCGAATGCGTTTACAATTAAAATATGTCGCGTACAGTAGGAAACAAAAAATTTTATTTAAAAAAATTCGTTGAAAATATTTATCTTTCTGTTCTGACTGATTGGTATTAAAATTGCGCAAACAAAAATTTTGCAGATTTTTTTTGAAAGGTACACATACATATTAATTGTTGATTTATAACAGAAATTTCAACTTTGAGGTGGTTTTATTTGAGCGAGGACATGAATTGCAAAATATAGCATTATTTTACATTTATTTATTTAATTTTTTTTATCATTTAACTTTATTATAATTTAACTTAATTTTATACCTTATTTTAATATATTTTTTTCTCATATTTAATATTAATTTTAAGTTTATTAACTCTACCATATTTTTTAAATATTTTATTTTTATTTATTTGCATATTATTATATTTTTTAATTAAATTTAAGTTAAGTTTATTGTAATTTACTCAATGTTAATTTCATTTTTGGTTTTTTATTTATTATTTATTACATGTTTCATTTTTTTTTTGCTTTCAATTTTATTTAATTTCATTTTGTCTGCTTGTTTAAATAAAGTAATTTTTTTTTATTATTTTTTTAACTTGTTTATTATTTTTATTTTTTATTTTTTATTTTATGTTTTATTTTAATTTTTCTATTTAATTATATATTGCTTAATATCTCTTGTTTTTTATTTTATAAGGCTTCTTAATTACTTTAATTATATATTAGTTTTTTTAATTAATTTTAATTTTAATTCATTTTGTTTAAATTTAATTTTACTTTTATTTCATTTTAAGCTCTTTTATTTGTCTTTTTCGTTATAAATTATTAAATTTAATTTGATTTTTTTTTATCTGATATTGTAAGGTTTCATTTATTTCAAATTCATTTTTATTTTATTTGGCTTTAAATTATATTATTTTTTGCTATATAATATATATATATAAACAATTATATTTTTCGTTTGCGGCGATTTAAATTTTTTGCGATATTTTCAAAATCTTACAGCAATAAAAAGTGGTACTAGACATTAAAAAGCTAATAAAAATTTGATTTTTTTTTTAATCTCAGTACTAACAATCCCACAGCATTTCCATTAACCGAACGTGACATTTTGAATACGAGTGTTTATCCGCATCACAATTGCAAACTCTCTCCAGCGGCACTCCCTTTATGTCACCTTCTTTCACTTACCTCGCAAATAGACTACGAATTTTCTTTAAACCAGTTGTTGCATGGAAAAACTTTGAAAATTTACTAGAACGCCTTTTCAACAACTCCGCTCCACCTTTTGCCCTTTCGACTTTCTCTCCTTTCACTTCTTCCGCCGCTCTTATACCCACACCATTCACCATGTGAGTGCAAGAACGAGAACATGATTTTGTTATTGTTTTTGTTATAGTTTCATATTCAATGTAGGTCACTGAATTTGTATGCATATTGTAGTTTTAGAATCTTTACTCTGTACTTTTGGTTTGTTTTTGTATTTAGGGCAAAAGCGAAAATGTTTGAGACCGAGACGACGTACCGCGTAGCTGCTTTTGCGCAGCCAGTTAACTAATTTGTTGCTTTTTGAATTTTTTTTTTCGACGTATTTTATGGAGTCATGTCACAGAGGAAAGTTGTTGTTGGAAGAAAAGCTTTTTTGTCTTGTTTTAGAAAAGTATAAAAATAAATAAACGAATTTTTGATTGAAAAGCCAAAAGCTTGGCTATGTCGGGTGGCAGCTGAGTTGTACTTTGGCAGAAAATGCATACGTTGTGGAAGTAGGATTAAATGCGGTACTTAACAGTTTTCGTTTTGCGTGTTTTCATTTGGCAAATCTCTTTGGAGGAATTGCCTTTTTGTTGCAGCTTAATTTTCAATGATCTAAGCGTTTGGCCTTTAGTTTAATTAAAATTATTTGTGTTTTCAAATTCTGGCACCCTCTTCTTCTGCTGTTTTCTGACTTGGTGTTTTGTTCTCATCTGAGCTCTGTGCTCCCAAAGCATCTATCTCTTCCAGCAAAGTTGTTATTCTCTGCCTCATATTTTTCGTAGATATCCTTTTGAGGGGCAACAGAGATCTTGAGCTGCTATTTTTCACCTTTTGTCTCTTACAGAACGATATCCTTTCAAATGCTTTGATATGGAAATTTGAGAACGTTTTTTATAAATATCTATTGCTAATAAATTTGTTTTCGAATTCGTGCCTATTAAATTAGCTGAAGAAGTCTTTTGTGTAGCGTAGCGTTGATGGCATAGCTTCCGCCACTTAGTTGTATACTATTTATACATAATTAGTAAAAATTTTAAATTTTTTCTTTCTTTTTTTTAAATCTTAAATTTTCAGTTATTTAAAATATAAAGTAAATTTGATTTTCAGTAAACGTAACGCAGCACTAGAAAAAGGGCTAAAGCGTTGATAAGAAAAGATATATATAAACTTTTAAGTATCCTATGTATAAGTTGGTACCTGTGTATCTACAATACAATAACAAACTGAAAACCACAGATATGCGTATATTTATAAATTTTATATTCGATTTTTTTCTGGAATTTTTTTCATAAAAATTTAAACTTTGCTGTGTACTAATTTGTTCGTAACTTTTTTGAATTCTGCACAATATCAATTTTTTTTTTAAATTTTGTTGAATTAAAATTTTTAAAATTTTTAATTTTTAAAAAATTTTTAGTTTTTATTTTTTTTTAATTTAATCTTAATTTCTTAAAAGCTCTTGTTAAATTTACAAAACATTTCATTAAAAAATATTAAAAGCATCTCTAAAAAAACACCAAAATTGTCCGTATGACAACTAATAAAATTAAAAATTATTTTTTTCAATTCCTTCTTTAATTTTATAAAATTCTTCAATTAACCAAAATTGGTAAAGAAAAGCTAAAGTTAAATAAAAACAACAACAAATATATTATATTGCCACATAACAACTGAAATAAATTTTACAACACAACAACAACAATACACACTCACTTAAAATGCTTTTTTTATTTTTTTTAAAGAAAACTTAAGAAAAATCAAACACCAAAAAAATTTGCACGAGTAAGTGTATAAAAAATGGCATATTTAAAAACGTTCACTTCAAATTTTAAAATTAATTTTTGGTTTTGAAAACTATTTTTTAATTTTAGAATATATCTATTTATTTTAGAGAGTAATTTTTTATTTTAAATGAATGAAAATTAATTAATTTAGGTTTTGCAAATTCAATAAATGAATATGTATTACCTAAATGTCAATTAACAAATCCACGGTTGAAGCATAGGCAATGCAATTGTTGTTGTTGTTGTTGTAGTGCAAAATAACAGTAGATGCTGCCGTTGTTGTTGCTGTTGTGCTGTTGTTTATTTTTTAATTTATAGTTGTTGTTGTTGCGAAATGTTTTGTGCAAAAAATTGTAACTTTAACACTACTTTTTTCAAGTTCAATTTAAGTTTATTGTTTTAATTTAATTAATGTTGTTGTAATTTAATTTTTGGTTACGAAATCAACAGAGAAATGAGCATTGCATAGTTTCGAAAACACTTGCATATATATTGTGCAAAATTTTTAATTTTTCGTTATTTCGAAAAATAATTTTATTTTTGCAATTTTGGATTGATATTTGAAAAAAAAAATTTTTTTAGTTCTGTTAAGCGTTTATACGGAATTTTTAAGTGATATTCAAACGCACTTTTTAGTTATATATTTGTATGTAAAATATGTAATTGTATAATTACTTTTATGATTTTGTTAATTTTTTTTTTGTGGAAAACTTACTTTTTGGAATTACGCTTGGTGGTCTGTTTCGAAAACATGGGAATTTTGTCAACAATCAGTTGCATCGCTCGAAAAAAGACACATTAACACTGACTTTCCTTGCGGCCGCTTGCACTACCACAGATACAAATTCCGTTAGCAAGTTGCACTTTATTTGTTTGTTTGTTGTTTGAGTAAAAGAAAGTTGAGTTTTTTAGCACGAATATTTTTTTCCAATACTTCGTTTTTGATATTCTCAAATGTATTTGAATTTGTTATTCTTTTTCAATTTAACTCTTTTGACTCGATCAGACACAGTTTTTTTTATTAGGAATATTTGTGTTTTGTATAAAATTTAATTGTTTTTTTTTTTTTTTGATATTTCAATAATACTGCTTGAGTGAAATTCTTTTCGAATTATTTTTGTTGTTGTTGTATTTAAAGGAACTTTTTGCTTAAGCAATTGTTATTAACAATTTTTATTTTAACTTTTTTGTTGTTGTAAAATACACATTCCAACACTTTCGCACTATTTTTTTTTTAGCGAATTTGTATTGTTTTATTGTTTTTGTTGTTTTTGTTGCGACGACTGCTGCTGTTTAAATTTTTTGGCTTATCTGCTGCTGCTGCTGCTGCTCTCGCTCTATACAACTTGCACGTGTTCTTTTGTTGCCTGCAGCTTATCGTTCACCAACTATGTATGTCTGTATTGGTGTGTGTTTGACCGCTCACCGTTGTGTTTGTGCGTGCTGGCGTTCGTTGAGGAATTCTCGTAGCTAACTTTTGAATTCTATGCAATATGAAATGTCACTAGAAATAATTTTTCGAGTTTTTTTGCACAATTTCGTTTTGTTTTTATTGTGAATATAACAATTTTTTGCAGATTTTTTCTTTTAATTTGCTTGTGCGTTAAATTTTTCAATACTTCTGTTTTTCAAAAATTTTTTTTTTCAACTTTTTTTCTCCTCCCTTAGTTTTTCCACTCCTGCACTTACACTCAGCACCGCTGTTAGCTACTTTGCTCTGGCGAATTTTTGGCTTATCAGTGAAAGGTGTGCGATTTTTTTATTATTTTTGTGGTCACTAATTGTTGTTGTTGCGCTCTTTTGAAAGCTTACACAGTATTTTAGATTTACCGTTTTTTGAAAAACGCTTTAAATTGTTTGTAAAATGTTTTTTTATTTTTATTTTTTGTCTAGGACATTTGAGCTGCAATTTTTTTCGATAATTTTTCAATTTTTCGTTTTTACTTTTGCGCAAAATTATTTTAATATTTGTTTACTTCGCTCAAATTCAATTCAATTCTTTGGACAGCACCGTTTCTCTGGTTGCCAATTTTTTTATTTTATTTTCTTGCACAATTTCTTTTCTCCAGTAATAGCACTTATTCGCTTCTTCACTTTATTCAATTATTTCAATGCTCCAAATTTTCGCAACTGGCTTTATTATTGTTAGATTTCTTGGCTTTCATCAAGCAAAAAATTTCACCGCTGTCACTTGAAATGCAAACAGTCCAGTCCACCAGTTGTTGTTGTTTGTTGCTGTTGTTGCGCAAATCACTTAAACTCGAACCGGTTGGGTTTAAAATTTTTTGAAAATATTTTTTTCTTCTACTTTTTATTAAATGTAGTTGGCGACCGCAATTTTTTCGCTTGCAGTTTATTTAACTTTTATTTTTTTACTTTTTTTTATTTGGAAAAGTAAACTTTCACACGATAGTTTGGTTTATTTGCGGCACTGCACAGTCGAGTTTTTAATTTTTTTCGTAATTTTCTTTTGTGTATTTGTTTTTGAAATTTCCTTATCACTTCTACACTTAACACGCAGAAATTTTTTTGTGCACCGCTGTCACTGTCAAAATTTTTCAAAACTTTTTCAAATTTTTTTTCAATAAATTTTTATTAAATTTATTTAATCAATACTTATTTGTTGTTGTAAATTCTTCTTTATCAGTCAAACGCCTTAATCCAATGTGTTGGCGTTGACAGCAGTTGAATTTTAATTGTTTCAAATTTTTGTTTAATAAAATTCTTTTAACGTTTTGTTTATTCTTCTTCAATATTATTATTGGTTTTTTTTTTTTTTTTTTTTTTCAATCACCTTTTCACTTTTTTCGCGTCTTCTTTCACTAATAATAATAATAATAATTACTTGTTTGTTGTTTTTGCTGTAGCATGCAAATTATCAACTACTTGCTTCTTGTATTGTATATTTTGTTGTTTATTGCCGCGTCGCGCTTACGTTCAGAAAAACATGACGACATTCGACAGCAGCCAGAAAGGAACTAAACTTCAATTTGCGGCCGAACTACCAGCGACAGCACAAAACTCGAAACTAAAAACTGCTTCACATCCAAATGTATCGCTTGGCCATTGTATCTACTGCATATGTCTGCCTGCCTGCCTGACTGCCCGCTTGCCTACCAGTTTGCTTGACTCGTTCGTTGGCCGCTCGTTTGTACGCGTTCGTACTTTTCGCATATTCGGCTATGGTTTTTGGTTTGGATTGTACGTTGTTCGTTGCCTACCGCACCGCTACGCCGCCGCGACGGCTGGCTGCCACCACCATAGTAGATGAGCATGTAAGTATTTATGTATCTATGTAGGTATGAGGCAAAGTATCTCAATATTGTGGGGTGCTGTTCGTTTGGACGCCTCGGTAGCGCTCGTTTCGGTATGAATGTACTGTGCATACATACATATATACACAAATAAAGATGTGTATCTGTGTTTGTGCGCGCACTGAATTTAACGCTTGTCTCTGTCACCGCATCACAGCCATCAGCTAGCCTCGCTCTCCCCGCGCACCCTTGCGCTTATTGAGCGCACTCTTTTGGTGCTAGCTAGAGAGTCACTCACCGAGAGAAGACAGTTGGCAGAAGAAAAATCGAAAAGAAAAATATATTAACGCGCGAGAGCGTCGTGGCACGCTTGTTGTTGTTGGCTTGAATTATCGTTACTACTGCTTGTACTCTGTTCAGCGCGCATACATATTTGAAGTACATATATGTATATGTATGTGTGCATAAACACACATAATTGTTTGAGGTCTCTTTACCTTTGTATTACACGCGCAGTTACACAGATACTCGCGTGCAATGAAATTCCATGCCCGCGTGTATGCGTGTGTGTAAGTGCGTTCGCGAACCCAACGCGTTCGCTCGACCGCAATGATCTGCTAGCTAGTGAGCGCTGCGCCGCGCTGCTTGCGCGTAGCCTGCTATTAATGCACGTCTGGTTGTATAGCTTTTTTATATAGTGTGTTCGACGCGCGTTCCCTGCGCACGCCTCAATTGTGTTTGTGCTAGCAAAGCGCGCTCGGCCGCTACAGTTAGCACATTATATTTAGTAGATGAAATTTAATGACGCTGCGCTACAAGCGGCGTTGCGCTATGGTTAGCGCGTCAGTTTTTCTGACGCATTCCATTAATAAAAGTGTATGCGCGCCTGCCACCCTTTGATTTCTGGCGCTGCGATGCGGTGTGGCTGTAGCTGATGCGCTTGAGTTTATCTCAGCGCGTTTGTACTCCCCCAAGCACTTGCTACTGCCACACTCTGCAGGCGCTCTACATTTAGCTGTTCATAACTTTTACGCTAGCTTTTGTGCTGCGCTTAACTACTTGGGCTTTGCTTGCTGCTTTCAACGTGCGCGCCGTTTGCAATCGAAAGCGTCGAGAGTGCAGCGCTGCTTGCTATCGATGCTCTGTAGCACTGGCGCTCGTTGTTATTGCTGCTCTTTTAGTGGCAGTTTGTTGTTATTATTTGTTGTTGTGCTGCTGCTGTTCATATCTCGGCTTCAGTTCTTCTTCTTCGGTAATACCGCTTGTGTTGATTTATTTTGGTAGCGCTTTTTTTGTTCTTTTTTTCGTCATCATTTTCATGTTTCGCTAAGTTGTTGTTGGTGCTTGTTTTGT